CCCGCTGCTACCGCATGGTGGGCGGCATCCTGGTGGAGCGCACGGTGCGGGAGGTGCTGCCCGCGCTGGAGAGCAACAAGGAGCAGGTGCGGGGCCAGCGCGGGGTCCCCAACGGGAGTCCCCAATGCGGTGTCCCCAGCGCGGGGTCCCCAACATGGTGTCCCCAACGTGGCGTCCCTAGTGCAGGGTCCCAATGCGGCATCCCCAGCGCGGGGTCCCCAACGCGGGGTCCCCAATGTGGCGTCCCCAGCACGGGGTTGCCAATGCAGCGTCTCCAGCGCGGGGTCCCCAGCGCGGGGTCCCCAACGGGAGTCCCCAACGTGGCGTCCCCAGCGCAGGGTCCCAATGCAGCGTCTCCAGCACGGCGTCCCCAGCGTGGGGTCCCGCTCCCGCCACGGTGTCCCCAACGCGGGGTCCCCAACGCGTCATCCCCAGTGCGGTGTCCCCAGCACGGGGTCCCGTTCCGCCACGGCATCCCCAGCGCGGGGTCTCCAACACAGCGTCCCCAGCACAGGGTCCCCAACACGTCGTCCCCAGTGGGGGGTCCCCAGTGCGGTGTCCTCAACACGTCGTCCCCAGTGGGGCGTCCCCAGCGTGGGGTCTCCAACACGGCATCCCCAGTGTGGGGTCCCCAGCACGCTGTCCCCAACACGTCATCCCCAGCGCAGGGTCCCCAACATGGTGTCCCCAGCACGTCATCCCCAGCGCGCCGTCCCCAGCGCAGGGTCTCCAGCGCACCGTCCCCAGCGCAGGTCCCGCTCCCGCTCGCCGCACGTTTTTCCCCCAAAATCCCGTGATTCGCTGACCCAGCAGCTGCAGGCGAAGGGCCGCGAGCTGAACGACTTCCGCGAGCTGCACAACATCCGGCTGGTGGGCGAGGAGGAGCCGCGCGCGCCGCGGGACGGCGCCGAGGGCGCCAAGAGCGGCGCCGCCGGCGTGCTGGTCTCCTAGAGCCCCCGGGACTCTCTGCCCACCCCCCGTTATCCTTTAGCGTCGCTCCCGTTGTGTTTTTTGTTAATAAATGTGGCGGTTTTGGTCACGGGAGGAGTGTTGGGAGGGCCCAGGCCAACGCAACGCCCGTCCTGGGGGTCTGGGCTGCTTGGACTGGATGATCTCTGGAGGTCCCTTCCAACCTTAACCGTTCTGGGATTCTGGGATTAGCGGCGTCCGGAGCGGGGGGAGCCGCTGGCGG